TGTAATTAGGTTGGAGGCCATTGCTATTAGGTTGGAGGCCATTGCTACAATGCTTCTGTGGTCTTTGGGCACTTGGATTCAAAGCGCTGTGGTGCCACAGCAGTAGCGAGGTCACCCACCAGCTCTGCGCGCAACGTTCCTCACTGCTCTTCTGCACAGTTGTTCAACTCGAGTTGTTCGGCTCTTCTCCGATCCAAAAGGGATCCAAAGAACGCAGAGGCTCCACAACTTACTTGTCCTCCGGGTGCAGAGGCTGTAGGCTGCTGATGACCTGCAAACATGCAGGTGCGTGCGGTTTTCTGAAAGGAAGCATGGTTGGGGGCGGCCGGTGCTGAGGGTCCAAGGGGCCCTTTTGACATCGAAATATTTGGTGAATCCGAATATGCTTCCATTTCCAAGAGGGGAGAGACATGGGATGGTATCAATGCCTCCGCATCAATTTGGCATCTCGGTGTTCACCAGACCGGGTGCAACAAAACTACAAGTAGCTGAATGAAAGTCCCGCATCTGTGTTTGTGGCGTGCACGTCAAGAGCGCAACTACATCAATTATATAAGAACCAGGTAACCTGTCCTTTCAGGAATACTCCTTGTCATTTGTAAGCGTTAAACATCAAGCATGATGCTAGTTTTGCTCACGGCGCGATCTCAAGAATTGGAGATCTTGAGTGTTCATCTTCACCGTGGTGCCGGTTTGACGAGTTGGTCGCGGCCCGCACTCAAGACCATGGTCGTCTCGGAGTAGGTGACATTCCTGGCGAGCCGAGGGATCGTCTACGGAGCCGCAAGCAGCTCGGACGAGCGAGCGAGCGGGGTCATCTTCTCCTCCAGCCCATCACGTAGGTCGTCGGAATCTTCAAACGCACGGTGATGTCGTAGAAGATCTGCGCGGCTCGGTGCTGGTAGGCGCTGACCATTGCTCGGGTCGCTGGTGGACGGGTTGGTTTTGAGGCACGAAGAGAGGTAGTAACACTCGTGAGAATCAACATATTCGGTCATAATCTGCATCCTATCTCAGGATCAGGTGGTCTGACACTGTGGGCAGAGTAATTATTGCAGAGTGGTCTTGAAGAGTTGAAGATAAAGACATTTGAAGACAGCTGGCCAGCTGGCGACTGTTAGCTGGTACATACCTCGCAAACAGCTTCATATAATCATATATCACTCTGCATAGCTGACAAACCTGCGTTTCTATGCGGATCGATGTGGGGCCACCTGAGGCTCGGCGACTTCGAAGACCGAGTACCACAGGTCATCAAAGTTCAGGCAATGGGCGGTGTCACCTGGCAGGGAAGGATGATTGGGGTGATTTTTGGGGCATATGTTGGTGGTTTTTCTTTGGAACATGAGTGTCTTTGTCTTTTTGCAGGATGGCTTCAAGGATTTCTGGTGTCCTTCCTTGAATGTGGTTCTGCGACATTCTTGGGTAGGAAGGCACAAAGCTTCAAGGTTTGTTGAGCAGCAAGCGCTGATCCATCATCCAGAGGTGTGCCCTCTTCTTTGATTCATTGTGGGCGGTAACTGACGATCCAACAAAGCAAGCACCTGGTATCAGAAGGTGTGGGCCTAGTATAGAAATGGTCGCCGGGTAGCCAGGATTCGAAAAACAAACATGTCAAACATGACCAGCTGTTTGTCTCTATCTTCCCGCCAGTCCGCCCGGCCTTCTACCCACTTAGGTTCAAAAAAGGCGGACTTCCTACCCTCGCGGAAGGCACTTTCAATGACAGGTATAGGACATCCCTCTCGAAAGCTTCTTCTCACTATCTTGGGTGAGTTGCCATGCCGAAAGCCCTGCGGAGCTCCACTCGTCCCCTTCCAAACCCAGCGGGTCTTCAGCCGAGCTGCTCATGCTGAAGAGGTCGCAAGTGGAGCTGCCACGACTTGCTTGGCCACCCCTCGCGTCGCCCAAAACAAGACGTGTCTGAAGACGTCACGGCCCTGTTTCAGACGGCTGGTTGGCGCTAGTGGGAAATGTGAAATCCTAGTCATTCCCGGTTGGCTTGTGGCAGAGGTGGACAGTGCCCATGTGTTCATCATCTTAGGCACTGGCACCACCTTCTCAATATCGCATCCGCAACAAAAGCCCTGCCATGTCATCAGCGAGATGCATGTCATGCAAGCGGCATGTCATGCAATCATGACTCAGAATGTTGGACTTTCAGAGTTTACATACTGCAACGAACTACGGCAATAGGTAACAACTGGTAACAGGTCTGCAACGGTGCGAGACTGGAGTCGCAACTCTGTTGAGCCGCCAACATCGAAACAAAAGCCGCCTTGGCTTCCATGTTGGACATGTGATGAAACATGATGAGAACCATGATAAACTGCCATCGCCTTTTTTCAGAGCAAAACCGAAGCACCGATGGTGCCGGTCCACCTTCTATCCTCTCCTACACTCCCTGGAACTAACATGGAAGTGGAGAATGGCCCCTTGGAAGACCATTTTCCACTACAAACAGATGGTTGTCCACTTCCATGTTAGTTCCAGGGAGAGTATCCACCAACAGCCACGAACGGTGCCACACAACAAATTCCGGGTACATGGTCACGGTCAGGTGCCTCTGAGTCAGGCACCCGAGTGTCGCCCAGAACTGGCACGCGGCGCGCTGCGTTCACGGTTCCAATTGGAGGAACCAAATGGGTTGCATCGGTCTGAAACTCACCATCTGGGCGTGTTTTCAAAAGTAGATGGACTCCCGACATGTTCGCACCAATTTCTCTTCCAAAGGATGTGACCCCCAATCACCAAGTATTCGCCTACGCCTTCGTCTCTGGGAGTCTGATTATTCTGAGACAGATTGGCAAACGAGAGGATGAACAGGAACACCAAACATCACTTCAAGTAAGTGCTGCAACAAGTCCCATGGAGCCTTTGACAGTACACAAAATGATCACACCAAACATCAAAACATATCAAAAAAACTCATATCAAATTGTGTCCAACCTCCTTGGAAGAACAAACATAGGCACATGACAGGAGCACAGGCGACGTCGCATGTGACGGCCTGGCATGAAGAAAACCCGCACGGGCATATCTCGGCATGATAATCGTTCTCAGTTGGCCGCGTTGGAGAGGTTCCAAAACGGTTTTGTTGGTTCACCTTTATGATATGTCATCCCGTTGACAAGAGCGACCTATGACTGACAGCTCATGAAAAGCTGTTTGCTCGCTTTTTCGAAAGGCTTCGTCACACATCACGGACCGCGACATGCAGCTCTTCAAGCTACAGGTCGTCAGGCTACAGGCCAGGTTCAGCCAGACACGGCGTCCGGGACGAGCGAGAGATGGAAAGAACATCGGCTTCCAGTCTTCACTCAGGAAAAATCCGAAACCTCCTTCTTGGGTCGCTAAGCCTTCACTGGAGCACAGCGCTCCAGAAACTGGGCCATCTCTTGGGCCAGCTTCTGCGGCTCCTGAAAAACGAGGCTCCATGGGTTGCGGTTTTGGACTTCAGCGAATATCAGTGGGTTTCGAAACAGAACCAAAAACGCCTCCGGTTCCGTTCCAGCGACATCGTTTTTGGAAAAACCAGTCGCCAGCTCCGCTCCGCTTGAACGCGCGCCTCATAGATGTAGTAATGGGAGCCACCCAAGTCATCCTGAGCTGCGTCGCTGTCACGGACCGTCGCGGACGCGTCGCTGTCCCAGACAGTGGCGACCGTTCGATCGCTGTGTCCGGCTCACTGTTCAACAAAGCCCCACAGACTGCCCCAGGGGTGAAAAAAAACATGTTCAAACTTCTCTATCGTTGGGTCAACTTCACATTGTGAGAGTTGAAGAGCAAGGTCGGTGGCACCACGATGGCTCTTGAACAAACCCCAGTGGCAATGAAATGCCTGCCTATAGTTTCCCTTTGTAAGGCAGTTTTGTTTCTCCCTTCCATGAACCGATGCCAACCCCTGATGCACTCTCTAGCAAAGTGCTTTTGGCTGACCATTCAAAAATGCCCATATCTGTCCTCTCAACATGATCGCCCACTCAACGCGTATCAGCTCGGTCTGGTCGAGTCCTTCACCTGGAAGTTCTAAGAGTTCCAACCGCTTGGTGGATGGTAAAAAAAAGACAACCTGGAGGGTGCACAGGAAAAAAGAACTTTCAACCTGGAAGTTGTTGAACACAAACTTCAGGGTCACCCACAAGCTTCCCTGAGTCAAGACATGAACTAAACTAAATATGTTGTTAAAAGTAAAGTCAAGGGAGACGTTTCAGCCCTTGAAAGTGTTGTTTTTCGGATGGGCGTTCCAGAACTTCACCTCTTTTCCATGCCAAGAATCCAAGAGGTTGGTGGGCCCACCCAGCTGCACTGCCATGTCATAGCTACACCGAGCTGGTGTAATGAAATCCGGAGTTCCTGGTCTGATCACAATCTGGCTGGTCTACTCAATCAACTCAAGAAACATGTCAGCTAACAATGCCCGGAAAAGCATTTTAGCTATTGTGCGTGAGTCCTGTCACTACGAAGGCAGGCGCTTTGATGTCAGGGAGGCGGGAGAAAATTTTGTGTCTACCTCGACTTGCACTGCGCCAAAAGGCATGGAGAGAAGTACAGGCTTGGAACACCTCCCACAAAGACGAGTCTTTTGTAGGATCAGTCAAAGCCAAGAGCAACCTCTTCTTCGAGATCATAATTACTGAACTGCAAGTGTGCCAATGACTCATACGGGGTGAAAGGATTCACACTAGGCAGTCAGGTCTGTCTTGTTGCTGCAAGAGGCAGGTAGATGAGTAAAAGGAAACATGCTTAGGACCCCGACCCAGCGCCAAAGCATAGCGGCAATAGTTCACAAAGTGCTCGTCCGATTGTAACATATCCTTCGACACCAAGAAGCCAAGAATCTCACTGTTACTTCTGCGGTACTGTAACTTGGCACTAAATTCACTAAATGAAAGACCTTTGACTCGCAATGATCCGAACACTCTCCAACATTAAAACCAAAAAAAACAAGACATTCCAATGCGCTCCACATGCGCTTCCCCACGACGCGCGTCTGCGCACAGGCGCATGCGGGCGCGCGGAACCCCCTGGCGCCTGGGTGTATCGCACGCCTGCTGCAGCGATGAGGTCACTGCCAAAGAACCAAAGAAGGCAGCTTCCCAGCCGCTCGAAGGCACTCCGATGCCTTGTGAGGGAAGCATTTGTTCTGTTTGTGGTTGCTTCTCGGTTTTGGATCCGATGCGCCAAATGAGTCCCGATGCCCACAGCAAGTTTCATGCAAGAGTACTACCCATGGCAAGTTGTATGATGTGGTATGAGTAGGAGCTTCTCATCACTACTGATACTCCACTGGCGGAAATCTTGAGAATTGGTCAAAACCCTCTCAACTGACTCAAATTTGTTGGCCTGACCAGTGCGCCGTGCATCATCTGTCGATGGCTTTTCAGCAAACGCGGCGCCATTTGCAGGCCAAAGTCCAGCAAGGAGGGCACACCTTTGGCGCTGTGGCATGAGGTCTCATGTGGAACTGTGAAGCCGAACCGTTGTACGGATGCAAGCTCACACAGCAGGTGGATTGTCGCAGAAAACAACACACGCCAAGTTTATAGAAGCCTCCTAACTGGCCCGACTTCTCCCCACTTCTCTACTGTCTTGCTTCTTGTTTGTTGCCTTCATATGACCGATGACCTTTCCAATACCAACAGCTGCAAATTGGTCTCCGCGTCTTCCGCATGTTTCCAGGGATCTTTTGGATCTTCTCAGAGATCAGGGGCAGAGAACATCCTCTTTTCGTTCCTCAAAAACAAACCAAAAAACACACACCTGTTCTTCTTGAACATGTGTGAAACATGGCCGAGTGAGCCATTCTCATCTAATGTGTACTGTTGACAAGCGTGCAACATCTGTCAACGTCCCATTCGTTCTGGCCTGGAACCTGGCAGAGGGGCTGCAGCAGCGCTTTCATGGCCTCGCCGGTCGTGCCTGGACAGCGGAATTCGAGTGCGTCTCCGGTGCCGCAGAAGCCCGGGGCCCCACAAACCTCTGGAACAGCACATCTGTCTGGCAAAACCACAACATGCTACAACCGCTGCAGCTTCGTATAGACTCCTCTCCCAATAATGACCAACCCGGTTTGGAGAGGACCAACCCAAACCGACCCTAAGCCAATCAGCGCAGCCTTCGCTCCCTTCGACTCGCCGTTCGACGGTCGCTCTGTTCGACAGCTCCGTGCGAGTCTCTCGCCTTGGATGAGGACCATGGCAGCGACGAGGTCCGGGCGGTCCAGCGCCAGCTGCAAGCCGATCTGTTCCAAAACGAAGACGTTGTTTGGGTGAAGCCCATCAAAGTGTGTGCGCCATTGATGCTAGACTGCGACAGGTTAGAAGTTAGAAGTGCAATCAAGTGAAATCAAGTGAACAATAGTACAGTTCACTCTGGCATGGAATGAAAATAATTCTTCTAATATCGGGCACGTGGGTACCCACCAGTCAACTCTCCATGTGCCCTGAATCCTGCACACCCGTAGACCAGCAGAGCAGGATGCAGCGCTTCAGCTTCAAATGATCGGCCAATTCAGCCGCATCCTTCGCACTGCGCCTCAATAGACAATCAAATGAACGCATATCAGGCGCAGAACCATATCGAATCCTGCGCTATACCGTATGTGTGATGTGAGACGCATTGCTTTAAGCTAGGAAAGCATAGGACATGTTCTGCCAGCGACGGGTGGCTCGGCTTCTCAGCTCCTGACTCCACTGAAATCTCCCCCTGCAAGGGCACGCTGTCCTTGAAAGAATCGCGACACAAAAGGGGTTCATGATGGTCAATGTATGTACATGTGCTTCCGTCAGTTGGAGTGTGTGGGTCTCTTTTCGGCCTAGCTCCTACCGTCGAAGGTCGAAGCCTTGTGCCACGCCGGTGCGTGTTGACATGAGGACATGTGTTCTGGGCATCACTGGGCAAGTAGGTCGTTGATTTCGGCAGAAAGCATGGCAGCTTCAAGAACATGCTGTAGGCCAGCCATTGCGGGAAAGTACGAACCAATGCAATATCCGGCAAAGCCTGGATCGGCGCCTTGTGCGATTGGATTCTAAGCCTGTGGAGAGAAGCAAACACGTTTGAATTAAAAGATACAGATTGCAAAGCCTTTGAACTCAACGTGTCTGCCTGCAGCACAACCTGATCTAACTATTATATCATGTTCCAAGCCAAGCTTCAAACTGCCCCCGGTAATCGAAAATGACCAGCCTGATGCGACTTGCCCAGGAGACAAAACAAGGATGCATGCTTGACTTCTTAACCGCTTACCGTCCTGCCCCATGCACGCAATATGTCATGCCAAACATAATTACAAAGCTGTTCCTGTATCAACCTGTCAAATGTTTGGAGTTCTGGATTGGTCTTTGATGAGGTCTTAGCTACCGTCCTTTTCAGCTCAACCACTCTGCTTCGCTCCTGCGCTGGGCCCAGCTGGCCGAGGTTTTGCGCAGCGCCGTGAGCAGCGGCGCCCAGGTCATGACCCGAGCGCCCAGGCCGTTGCAGACCAAGACCGCATCTGGACACCGGAGACCGAGACCGAGTAGACCAGTCCGTTGGAACAGATGGGTGAACCAACGGACTTAGACCGGACGTGAAGGTCAGCTGCATGCTGCAATTGCTGGGAGGTGAAAGATTTGGCATGGTCTTTTGAGGGGAAGGTGCTGAAAAAATGTGTAAAACGCGAAGTTGCAATCAGTTCAGGACTTTTGGGTGGGCTTGACAACTGCTACGGACGGAACATTCGAGTCTGCAAAGGTGCAAACCGTCATCTAAGAACATCCACCAGATCGGGAGAATATACCCACAGACTCTTCATTTAGACACTTGATACATATGGTTTTAATGTCCTCCTTTGGATTCCTCCCAGAAATAGTGGGTTCACAGATGGCAAACACTGTTTGACCAGTTGGATGATGGCGTAAGACCAGCAATCCTGGAAGTAGTGTGAGTTTGTGAAACCATGTGAAACCGTGTGAACCCCCCTCCCAAACGCCTCCTATTCCCACGCGAATTCTCTGCGTTTTGCTGGTG